GAGCCCTGAGCAGCTCGCCAAGGGAAAGGGCCATCCTGGGGGGGGTGGGGGAGCGGGGGTGGTCGCTGAGGAGCTCTCCCACCCACAGCACCGACACCGTGCGTGTGCCAGGGCTGAGCCCCGGTGCTCCTGGCCATCCCCCCACGGCGCCTGGCAGCTTGGGTTGTGCCGGGCTTTCACCAGGCTTTGTCTTTCTGCACAGAACATCCTGGGGCTGCGGTGGATCCCTCGGCAGTTTTTCCTGCAGGTGTATGAGACGCTGCGGAGGATCGGGGAGACCAGGTCAGCACCGGCCCTGCGCCTGCCCTGCTCCGTCCCCCGGCAGCTGCGGGGACTCAGGCTCCGAAGCTTTGCTCCCCATCTCTTTGGTCATACCTCAGACCGATTTCTCGGTCTCTGCCCAGCGCTGTGACACAAGTGCCTGTTCTCAGCCATTTCCATCTGAGCTGGAAATTCGAAGATGGGGGAGCACGCGGGCTCCCAGGCTGCTAAAGGGGAAGGATGGGGCAGCCTTGTCCTGTTTTCCGCTCCCAGTTAGGAACATCGGGATTTTGCCAGCCCAAAGGCACATCCTTGGGACTTTACATCCAGAGGCACATCCTTGGGACTGTGTCACAAGTCCTCCTCCAACTTTTGACAGTCCAAGAGGCAGCTCAGGCATCCCCGTGCCCCCGGCCCGCTCCCGTTAGCTGCACCCATGGCTCGGGGGCTGTGCCGCAGTCTGGGTTTCGCACACAGCACAGGGATACACAGGGTCGGCTTCCACACAGCGGGCAGAAGACCCCCTGCCTAGCTGTGAGGGGCGGCAGCGGGACGGGGAGGAGGCAGATCCCACTGCACAGATCCTGCCTGTCGCAGGGGTCCTGCTTCCCTCTTGATGAAGAGCCCACAAACCCATTAGCATCACACTACTGGCTGGGGGAGACCCCCTCCTCCCGCTCCCGCTGCCCCCCAGGGAGGTGATGCGTTTTTCCGGCGGTGTGGAGGTGCTGGCAGCGTCCCTGCAA